GCAGCATTCTGAATGCCTAAAGTGGCTAATATGACAAGAGGACTTGGCTTTTGTTTTGAAAAAGTCATTTAGTAATGGGAGCAATGACTGTAGGACTACTTCTTGTTGCTGTTGAGCATAAAAATCGCATCTCAATTTTTTTGTCACTCCTGCTATATTGTGAAAATTATCTCCAGTGATCACCTTTCACATTTGATTGGGATTTTGTTCAAACATTTTTAGTGAAAAGCATGAAAAAGAACGTAATTTTTCTGTGGACCTAAATTTAACAGTGGGATATTTTCACTCCTAAAACTTCACAAGCACCATGCATTGTCCTGATAAAGACTACAAAGACATCTTGAAATCCATCCACCTGATAGTTTTTGCTTGAATTTGTGCATTTGTACCAGTTTTAGACCTGCATAGATTCATCATGAGGAGTTTCTGGTGCGGCAGGAATCTCTGGGGTTCAGCCAGCAACAAGTAGGAGAGGCTCAGTTAAATACCTCACAGAAGACATGAGTAAGCTTTATGAAAAAAAGCAAAAATAAAGGAAACTTGAACAGTTGATGAGTACAACCTGTCTTATTAGCTAAAATAACAGGTGCATCTTGAACATGAAATATTTTCTAGGCTGTGCTTATCTAATTATATTTTAGGATCCTGACAAAGCCCAGCTTAAGATTCAGTGGATTTGACAGATCAACATCCTGTGTAAGTGAATTTCACTTTTCTCAGCTGTGCTGTCCATACGAGACGTATTGTCTTCTACAGCTGCCATACAGCCTCTGTCCTGGATATGAACATTTGTCTCTGCCTCTGTTCCCATGCTTGCTGTCTCCCAGAGGAATAAACTGAACATATTGCTCCTGCATGGGGATGGCACTGCTTTGTCTGACAAACAGCCTTGCTGTATTTGGTGACTCAGCTGTAAAAGCAGTTGAGAAATGGTCTTGGATCCAGAGTTGAACACAGCCTGAATACTGAGAACAAATTGGTTTGACATTGAGATGTGTTGTTGGTTTTCAGGGATGATCAAATTTACAAATTCAGTCTTGCTATAAATATAGAGAAAGATTGTTAATAAGGATTTAGAATGTTAAACAACCTGCCACAATAATATATAATGGGTAAGCATTGCTTTTTTTGTCTGATATGGAAGCCAATTAGTTTGATTAGGAAATTGCTCTCTCTCTGTGACACATTACAATTTGCTGAGACATATTTTCTGAGACGCCCTCCAATGATGTATTAGATCATCCTGAGAAATTAGAAAATTGTAGCTGTGATGGTGCCCTTTCTTAATGCCAGCTCTGCGGATGTCATGCAGAAATAATAAAAGCTGAAAATTGACGGAGATGATTTGTTTTTGCTATCTGGGATGAGATGAAATGACAATGCAGTTTTAATTAACTTTTCGTCTTGGGCAGAGGGACGAGAGAAGCGAGGAATGAATCATGGAGGACACCAGCTATTTGGCTTTTTGTCACCAGAGACATAAGCCATGCTTTTATAAACTACCAGTCAGCCACTCGATCATAAAACTGGGCCAATGGGCCATTGGAATTAAACTGAGATTTTTAATAAAATCTCAGTTTGCTTTCATAAGAAGCTGAAAATTCAATCCTGTCAAAATGATTTATAAAATCAGTCCATTTAGAATGAAGGAAAAACTAAAACATATTTTCAAATTTTTACCTCTGTGTCTCCAGATCATTTGTAAGTCTCAAGATAAGATTGGAACCTATAAAGAACTTTTACATGATAATTCCCAAAACCATTGAACACAATTTTATTATTTCATCACTCTAATATTTCAATGCATCATTGTATAATGTAATCAAGTATTGTATTTATGCAACAAAACAGTCAAGTGTTCATATCAGCGCATAGAAATAACCTCCCAGCGCCTGACATAACATGTAGTAGAATAAGTTAATTGAATTAGGAAGGATGTTATACCACTACTACCTTGGGTAACATGACGTCCTAAGAGTAGAAGACTCACCGACTCATCAATATGTAATCAATACAGGGTCACTGCTCTCTCATCAGATTGGATATTATTGATTGAGTCAGCAACTGAGAAGCTAAAAGTACTTCAATAATCATATTTTAGATCATCATGTAAGAAATCTCCTTCTTACGTTTATGAAACAATCTTGTCTTGTACAAGTAATCCTCCCCCATGAGCTTTTTTAACATGTTGTCATATTACAGCAACAAATCTTGTATTTTGGAGGTTTTACATGGTGGGCTAAGATAAGGTAGTGTATAGTTATAATGTTAAGTTAGAATTAATAATATAACACAATATAATAACAACCCAACATACTGATTTATTATTGTTACTGTTTAAAGATTTGATAGATTTACATAAGAAAACAATAGTTTATTATAAACAATATTTTTGACTTTGTTCCTATTCTACATTTTCAGTTTCCTAAGTTACATTTTTTGTAGTTCTTCTCATAACCTGCATGGATCCTTCAGCACCAGCTTCATTTTTTGCTGACCACAGACCCCTGAAATGAATGATTATGTTTGCCAGACTGGAACCTTGACCTTTCCTAAGGAGCCATTACATTAACAAATCACTTGACAGCATTCAACTCTGCAAAACATTAAAGTGGGTTGTGAGAGTTTTTCGCATCCAGAAGAAATTTTCTACACTGTGACTTTATCGGTCAGCATCAGCGGTAATAAATGCTGAAATTTACAAGCATCAGCTGGCTAAACAGAGAAAAAAAATACTTTAGGCCAAAGAAAAATTCTGTTCTCAGTTTATTGATGCTCAGCCCTGCTTACATCACGTCTTGTTTTGCAGCTCTAGGACCACACACTTTATTGACTTTGGAAAAGTGGGCTAAACACTTCCAATTATTTTTAATTTAACCCTCTAAAACCTACTAATAAATGTGTTAGTTTTGAAGGGGTATCTTTAAACATTTATTTTTGTCAAAGAAAGAAAAATGCCTTCCTCAGTATGTATAGATTGTCTAGACAGTTATCTAATCTGCTTAACCATAAAATGTTTATCAGTAGTTGGATACATATACATTTAACCTGAGTGTTGATAGACGCCTAGAAAGACAGCTAAATAAATTTTATTTCTTTTAGCGAGCATTTTTTTCAGACATTGAGCCAACACTGCACCCTACTGGGCATCAAGGAGTACTGCCAAAATATTAAGGTAAAGGACCATTCTGTTGAGTCTGTTAAATCAGATAAGTCTTTTCTGAAGTGACTTTGTGGAGATAACACATCCCAGCAGAAAACTGGGAGCAGATATGCTTGCTCCCAGTGAATTCTCCAGGCCTTTCTTTGGGGAAAATGAAGCATGCCCAAGTCAGAAGGGATATAATGCCCCTCTGGGTAGTTTTGACTCATTCTGATAGGTGTCACTGAAATCAGACTCTGATTCATCCTAAATATTTAAACTACCTGAACTAATACTCTGCAGGTCAATTCTTGTTGGTGACACCATTACCAAGCCTTTTTTAAGATTAAATAGAAGTTGACCCAGAAAACACATCACATTGCTCATACAGAAGGAATATTTTAGTGAACTGGTCAGATATATTTGCACATTGGGTGAGAAATGGGATACACCCTGAGCAGAAATTTGGAGAGACTATTAAAATACACAATATTGTACTGCATAAAAAAGGGAATACCAAGGAAGAAACCATGTGGTCTCAAGAAAAAATGCAAATTCTATGTTGCAAAGCCTTGATTGAGAATATGCCCACATAATAATTATGTAAAGTTGAGTGGGAGAAAAAATTGTGGCAGTAAAAGGTATAAAGCAACAGGGACAACATTAACATTTGGGGAAATTATGAACCAAAGCTGATTCAAAAGTTCAAATACTTTTTTTCAGATTAAAGTAAATAATGCATGCTGTTTAGGAATCCCAGAGTCCCAGGAAGACGAGCAGAAAGGCACAGAATCTAAGGTGCTTGATGTTCAGTATGAAGTTTGCACAGTAAGTGATGATTTGGGGAGCTATGGCAGCTGCTAGTGTTTTCTTTTTTGTGATTGCATTAGATATAATATTTCCAGCAGACCTCACCACTTGCCCACCACAGAAACTGAGTTATTCTGATTCACAATATTCCAACATGATGGTCTTTTTTGACTTTCTTTTGATCTCTTTCTTTTCCATCTCCATCCTTGCAAAGAAAATGTTTCTTTTATTACTAATTGCCCTTTGTTCTTCAGTGACTCAGCGGTTACTGTTGGCAAAACTTGTCCTAGACACCCACACTTGACGCAAATTTTTGGTTACTGAAAAACTAAAGCTTACAGAAGATAGTGGATGCATTGTGATAATGAAAAAACTATTAAACTGTTAACAAAGCAATTCTACACAATTCCTATTTTAAAGATTGGTATTAATTTTTGCGAAACTGCATTGGATACTTGCTTATTTTTCAACAAGCCCACATTTCTGTATTAAAAATATGTCTTTATATATTATTAGTCTGGTGTGATATTCTAATCTTAAATGTTGCAATTTTATAAACTGTAAATAGAAAATCATCATAATTAATAAACTCTTGAAAAAAGTCTCCATGTAACTAATCCAAATGATTCACTTAAGCAACTACTGTAGGTAACTGAAATAATTTAATCTTCTTTAATTGGATGGCTGTGTAAATCATTTTGTTTATGATTTTATATATAAATAAGAGTTTAACTTTTTAAAAATGAAAGTTACAAAATAAACGTTTGAATATGTGCTAGGTTGCTGAGACTGATCCTTGCATTTACTGTAAATTTGATACTTAGTAATATTTTGAAAAAAAATTATAAAGTGGAAGAAAATAACGAGCAACAAAAACATTAATCTCCGTAGAGGGTAATTCCACATCACTTAGTATTTTTAAAAATGTTAAGCTCAATGATACTTTGTCTTGAACTTTGATTTTTTTTTCTTTTTTTTTAACACTTTAATAAATTGTGAACGTGTAGAATTGTGGGATTCTGCAGGAACCGGGAGATTGCCAAACGCCATCTTTAAACCCCACTAGAGGCCAGCTACAGTTGCACGGGGATAAAAAAAAACACTGTTCTTATAGCAGGATATTGACTCAGATTGTGGAGATAGTCTCGTTATTTCCTGGTCCAGTGAATTTTAAAGAGCTGCTTGACAGGATTGTAAGAAGACGGTCACGGGACAGCGCAGGAGCTTTAAAATGTTGTTAACGTAGCCAGAGAACAACAATAGACGGAAAGACAACAACAACGCTAGCAGTTTGCTAAGCACTGCGCTGTTTTCAAACGCTAACTAAGGGCTAGCTAGTGCTAGCTAATTCATTAGCAAATTTGTCCGACTAGGCTATAATTTATTCGGACGGAGGCCGTAGCTGGTTGTGGATATCCTGATACACCTACCGGTTGAGTCAGCTGTTATCTGGCTCATTTACGACCTCTTTCTGCTTAAGTTTCTATTGTAGCGCCAGCTAGCTAAACGCTAAGTCCTGACTTCTCGCCCTCCCCAGCGGCCCAGCCGGAGATGTGTGGAAGATGTCGGTGTCGGGGCTGAAGGCCGAGCTGAAGTTTTTGGAGTCCATTTTTGATCCAAACCACGAACGGTTCAGGATAATTGATTGGAAGCCCGACGAACTGAGCTGCCAGTTTAATGTGACTGGAGAAAAGTTGCTAATTATCCACTGTAACATTACGGTAAGTAGTAAAGAACTGATGTTGGGAGTTTAGCTTGTAATGCACTTCCCTTGTTGGTAGTTAGCGATCAAACGTCATGTCGTTAACCTCCTAAACCAAGAGGACAACTGCATTTAGAATCAAAGAATCTCAGTGTATATGGGACCGGTGTTTTTCGTTATACACCTGCATGAACGTGAGCTAAAGAGTCTTTGTACATGATCAAATTAGGCGTTCAGCGTTTTGGAAGCAATCCTAGCATCCGGCTAACGATGCGTTCAACATTCGAGTGTCGCCTCTGATAAGCATTAATACTGTTCTTTATATTTTATTTTTATGTTTAATACTGATAAAAAAAAATTATGTGTATAAAATGTATTAATATGGGTGTCTTAAATATGTAGTGTCTCTCGTTTTTTTCAGGAATCATATCCATCTACGCCACCGATATGGTTTGTAGACTCTGACGACCCGAGCTTGGCACAAGTTTTAGAGAGGCTGGAAGATGTGAGAAAAGGAAGCACCCTGGTAGGTTAAATTTACTGGCCTATTTCAACATGTTTTTCCGTAACGCTTAAGAGAAGTCATGATGCGACTGCTGCTCGTCACTAAGAGGGGTGACCAAAGAGCTGCCATCCCAAATTCTGACAGTGTAGTGTTATCCAGCAGAATGTTGATGAATCTCGCTGAGTGCATCAGAACGGTTAAATCAGCCTGACTTAAGTAAATAGGTTGCGTTACAAATGATCTATATTTTCAATGTGTTCATGTTATTCCTTGAAGAATGGGGGATATATGACTACACTTTGCACTTTGACTTATCTGAACTGCTGCACTGAGCAAGTATTGACAATACTGCTTTTCAGTAGAGGAAATACCAGACCAACTGTCTGTTGGGCGTCATTAACACATAAAAAGACAATGTTGTGACAAAATGTTGATACAGATGCTGATATCTTTAATTCACCACTTTGAATATTTGCAGCTTTGGTGACTGTGCCATACTGTGGGTGAAATTGAGCAGTCTACCACATGTGTCTTCGTACCATTGGATTTCTTCATGTACATGTTGGTAGATAATAATTTAAAGTTATATTCTGCTCATAACCTACTGTAAGGGAATGTTATGCAACTCTATTAAAGCAGTATCCTGCATCTCATAGGTGAACTGTTTGGACTGTAATACATCATATGCCATGATTAGTTAGTAATTGGGTGTAACATGTAATTGTTAAATTTTACATTTTTGGAACATTGGAATATTTATATCACCATTATTTATCAAATTACTGATGATACCTATTTCATATTTACATAGAATGTGCATACTTCAACTAAATAGATGTGACTGTGTCAGCAAAAATAAAGAACTGCAACTTCGCCCAATGTGACTCACACATCCACCTTCTAATAAGAGAAAAAAAAAATCTATTATTTAAAGGTCTCAGTTTTGCAGTGCCAAACAAAACAAATGCATTAAGATTGAAGAAAAAAAAGACAAACACAATCAGCTCCGTAAGTTCAAAGCAAAAGATTGCTGTGGAAGAAAAATAAAAATGGTTGGATTACAAATGGGAGGTATAAAAATACATCCGTTGCAGTAAACGCCACTTGGAACTTGATTCTCCTCACTTTCAGGAGAGGAGTCCAATAAAAGCTGACTCTGAAAAACGTTTTGTTTTGATCAGGTTTCAATAGGTAGGCCTTCTCACAGCACACCATCAGTCTAATGCATCTACTTTAGCCAATGTGATTAGTTATCATTTAACCAAAATGTTCTGTAAATATGTTTTTCTATTGTTGGCAGTTTTGAGCTACTGTAGATGTATGTCAGATAAAGAGGAAGTCTGTTTTTGGGGAGTTGATAAGATCTGTCTTCTTTCTGTGTACACAGATGTCTTGATGGTGCTATTTTTTGAGTGCACCAATTTGCAAAGATATGGTAGTTGGCTAACCATTAAGAGCTAACACTTACCATGCTGTCTAGCTACACAGTGTCAGTGTCACTTTACTGCTGATGGTAAATGGAAGTTTTACTGAACAACTTAATGGAATTGTCCTTTTTAATTTAAACATTTTAATTTAGACCTGTATAATGAAAGTAATTTCAGTATGGCACTTCTGAGCTGGAGGTTTTGATCTTTTTGTAAACTCCTTACATTTACTTTTTAAAATGACATGTGCATAAGGTTTAAATAAAATGGTATGTACCTGTATTCAACTCACACACCATTGTGATCTTTGGACTCCCATCAGCGCTTTTAAAAAAACATTTTTTTTTTTTTTAATGAAATAATTTTCCACTAGTCCTGTGGTAGCTGTGACATATTATATGTATGATGTATTTCTTAAATGTTCCTTAAACTGTATTTTCACTGTGAAGCACTTTGTGGCTGCTGTCTGGGAAAGGTGATGTAACATTTTACTCTCAAGAGATTGGTAAAAGCAGTTACTATAAGTTTTTAGGTCATTCCGGAAGTCATTTTTGCATAATCTACAGCACCGTGTTATTTCTTAACATCAGTGTGATACAGGAACAAATTGCTGAGGTCCTGTGTGACTGTTCTGTTTTCTCTTTTGCAGATTTTATTATTTCTGGCTTTTTTGGTTGTTACATATGTCCTAAGTATACATCAATTTATGCCAGATGTGAAGATGTTTTTCATCCACTTGGACAGCAGAAAGTTTAAAGGGATTTTTAATATTGTATACATAGCTGATAGTCAGTTTAGATAGCATTAGTTTCTTTTGAGTGCATATTTCCGATGACCTCACCTGAATGAGGGGAAGCATCATGATTGTGCCCTTTCTGAATAAACTGAATCAAACATCAAAACGCTCATCACATGCAGCATCTCATTGTGATACTCCAGCTGCTACTTGGCAGATGAGAGGGCATGGACGAGGATATTGAGGGAAACTAAAAGGTTATTGGAGTGTTCCTCCACTCCAATAACATCCTGTTCAGGATGTTCAGTGCCATTGCAGGAACAGCCAACACTGTCCAAAACTCTCCACACCCTGTCAATAAACTTTTTCAGTTGCTGATAACAGGGAAAAGATACTGCAGCATCAACAGTTGAAGCACCAGACAGTTGAACAAGCTGTTAACATGCTGTCGGGATGTGTATGTTCTATTATAAATGAAACAAATCAGTGTCTCTTTGTGGTTTTCTTCTCTAGCTTTTGCAGCAGTTAAAAAAGCTGATTTGTGACCTTTGTCGGTTGTACAACCTTCCTCAACATCCTGATGTGGAGATGCTAGACCAGCCTCTGCCTGCAGGACCTGTGGGACAACAAGACCGAAAGGTAAAGAAAACCAGTTCATGCTGGAACAATATGGCACTTATAGATGGTAAATCTTTCTTCCTTAGTTTCCTAAGTTCCTGTTTCAGAGTAGAGTTTAGATTTTTATAAACTAATAAAATTAAAATGCAGCTTAAACTACATTGGTTAAAGCAACATTTATAAACTCTTTTTATTTTCTATTAACCACTGTGTCTCAATGTACTGTAGACACCATCAGTCATTGAAGTATAAATATTTCAACCACAAAAAAAAAAAAAAATGGATGTTAAACGTTGCTGTACTTTGCACTCATAATTGCACAGGAGTGTCCTTTTTAGGATGTTTCACGTAGGTAAGTACATTTTTATCCGTGGTTTCAGAATGGGCTGATTTGTCTAAGTTGCTAACCTCTTATCAGATTTATCAAGCTTACCAACATTGTGGCCAAGGGTGTGCTTGTTCTTGACAGAAATATTAAAATATTGTAAGACTTTGAAGTAGAAGAAGTTTGACCTGGTTTATATAGCATCAATGCAACACACGAACCAAGACCCAACCAACCCAATAACAGAATAGTTTACTGCCATGTCTGTATGGTCAACAAATCACCCAAACACATTTAATGAAATATCTTCTGTCCAGATCCTAACAGAAAAGACAATTCACTGAGAATTTTTTGTTTGGAAAGTGTTAAAAAGTCGGTCTCCAGTAAACCACAGTGAGAGACTTTATCCAACAAATTAAGAAAACATGGAACATTACCAGGAGTGTCTTGCCTTTCAAATCTTCTCAAAGAGAGCATTGATGACTCATCTCGGAGGTCATAAAACGGCCCAAAACTACATTTAAAGCATAGCAGGCCTCCGTCAAAATCACTGTGTCAGTGGAATTGGTGTGTTTTACATCTGCCTTACAATCAACAGAGGAGTTCAGAAAAATGTCATTTTGGAAGTGAGAATTTCAAGTTTGTGATCTTGAGCTCAAATACACATGGATAATATTCTAAAACACATTGGCAAGCTCACTTTTGAATGGCTAAAAAAAGAATAATAAATGAAGGCTTTACAATGGCCTACTCAAAGTCTGGACTTGAATCTGATCTTTGAACTAAAATGGGCCATTTAAGTTAAAACGGGACTGAATTGATACAGTTGTGTAAAAAATAGTGAGCCAAAATGACTACAGAAAATATTCCCATTGGGCCAGGATTAGTTATTTTACCTATTAAATGAAATGGAAAAAATACATCTTGAGTCAAACATTGGAAAAAAAAAAGAAAAAAAAAAATCTATAAAAGCGCAAATACCCAGATCCAGCCTTGTACTTCAAGCCTTAAATATGTCAACATTTTTTTAAAGCTCACTTGTGCTTAAAACAAGATGGCAAAATCACACAGAATAAAATCACTTGAGAAAATACATTTGGCCTAAGTGCTCCCTTATGTTTTCTTTCAAAGACGTGTGTTTATGTAGGGAAGAACTAATAAAATTATTTAAAGTTTTATTGGGGGGAGGGAATAAGATACTGTTGCCGTTTTGCTCTTGTCAATGCTGCTCTGTGTTTGTGTTCCCGAGGGGATTCTCTGTAAAATACATTAGATGGACTCGTCAGTTGTCTCGCAGACTAATGCGGTTTCAGTGAAACAAACTCTTGTTTGTGTGTGTAGCATGGGACAGAAGAGGTCACATCTGAAGAGGAAGAGGAGGAAGAGATGGGGGAAGTAAGTTATTAACTTTGGCCTAAACATGCTGTCTGGTCTCTCTGCTGAGTTCATCACTGAAAATCATTCATTTTGACCTATTAGAAATTGTACTTATTGTTTTCCCTGTTCTTCCTACACACACACTACTGTAATGATCTGTAATAAAATGTTTTATTTTTTTTATACTCAAACATTGTTGTGAACAACCGAGTTTTATTTTAATAATGGGACATGCCTTCTGCCTTGATCCTAAATCTTTGTTTTATATTTATATGGTTTAAAATGTTTCAAATATTACAAATTTATCAGGACATCGAGGACCTGGATCACTATGAAATGAAAGAGGAGGAGCCTGTTGATGGGAAGAAATCCGAGGACGATGGCATTGAGAAAGAAAATCTGGCAATCCTGGAGAAGATCCGAAAGAACCAGAGACAAGACCACCTAAATGTGAGGGGTTTTTTTGAAAATTGGACTGTCGTTTGTAATATTTCGGATCAATTTCACAGAACATTTGAAAACAGGTTGACATGAACAGTTTGTAAAATCAGTAATGTTTTACAGTCTTGTACACTTGATAGTTTGTAATATAAACTTCTTCTATGAAACTTAAGACACATTTTAGTTTTTTCTTTATCCCCGCTTCTTAAGGTAGCAGAAAACATTTAAAAGGTGTTGAAATTCCTTTAGAATGGGATTCATTTTTGAATAAGCCCTTTTATCCATTAAAGTATGTCAAAATAAAACACAACCTCATAGCCATAAAATCTTGTTATGCTTATTTGGCTTCAATGAATAAATGTTTTGTAATTTTCTAAAACACTCTCTTAGATAGTTTACTGCTGTCAAAAAAGCCCAGACTATCACAAAATGCAGTTTGTTAACTGATGTTGGGACACAAATTCCAGAAGTTAATTGCAGTTTGTCTGCATTGTGTTCAATTTTGCAGGGAGCTGTGTCTGGTTCAGTGCAAGCCTCTGACCGCCTGATGAAGGAACTTCGAGAAATATATCGGTCTCAGAGTTATAAAACTGGTATGTACATAAAACCAAGCTTTTGTTTTGTTGGAACATAAAAGGAAATACAAAGAAATCACACAGATGATGATCTCTTCTCTTTTTGACAATTAAGCTGCTTTACCTCAAGTATTTTGCTGAGGGGGTTGTAATGATTTCGTGGTAAAATGAGGAATGTTGTAATGACTTTTTTTTTCTTTTAGACCTCTGTTAACTCCATCTGCACTTCCTTAATTGGTAGAATATTTCCTTTCAAATGTTAATTTTGAGATTATATTTTATATATTATTGACACAATCTTAGGCTTTGCCTTCCTTTTCTATTAATAGCCTTTTTAATTCTGTTCAGGTTTGTTCCCATCATAGTAATAATAATAACAAGAATAATTTAGACCAAAAAAAGTGATCTCAAGGCAACCAAAAGTTCCCAAAGAGAGATAGTTTTACATTTGGCAAAATATCCACCTAAGACTTAAATTTCGGGAGTAATCAGATAGACATCATATCTGTTCCTGTTCATTGCTACTCTGTGTCGGTGGTTCCTTTTACCACCAGAATAGCCTACTTTAAATTGGAGAGCCATAAAGTTGTTGTGCAAGTGTCACTTTCCTCCAATTACTCATTTTACTCAAGAGGATGATGCAGCACAAAGCTGACATTCTTTCAAGTACACAATCCGTCACATCCGTAAGTCCATTTTTGTTAGATAGTTGCTATACAAACATATTTTATTTGGCCCTAAAAATGTACCTAATAATATGCACCTGTTGGATGAAAGGGGAATTAACATACTGTGACATTTGAACACTCTCCTTCACTTGGCTTGGACATGTAGAAAAGAAAAGTTGAGGTTGCTGAAGTTGTTTAACAAAGCGAGAGAGGTTGTTGATATAACTCCGTCTGTGGCCATCAGCGCATAACTACCACATGAACAGACACAGGACAGACAACAATTCAATTATTTTTTAAACTGATCAAATTTGTGCTCACAAACAAACAGCTGTGCTGCATCTGCTGACTCCATGGCCAAGAAGTCTCACATTCTCCACCTGGATCATATTTGAAGCAAAATTGCTCACTCCATCTTTTTTTTTTTTTCTTTGTTACTAATGTGTGATCACATCCATTTGACATCTTGTATTAAAAGGCATTTCTGTACATAAAATTGCTTGTGTCCCTTGTACAACAATAGGCATTGGACACTGCAGACCCAGGTGACATTTCTTATAGTACTTCACTGTTTCTTAAGACGTGCTTTTCTGTTGTCAAAAGTGCTTCTGAAAATATCTTTTTGTCATTTTAGGGGAAAGGTACAAATTTTAAAAATCTCAAACTATGTTCTGCAATGGGGCGTGATTAAATACGTGATTATAATTTTGAATTGATTGCTTATTATTTTTTTTCAATTTGCAGGGATTTATTCAGTTGAGCTTGTCAATGACAGCCTGTACGAATGGCACGTTAAACTGAGAACGTAAGTAGCTAGTGGTATTTTGTCTTGTTTTTTTCCGCCGGATTCAATATTTGCATTGTCTAATTGTTGTGTTTAATGTCTAATAGGGTGGATCCAGATAGCCCTTTACACAGTGATTTACAAGTCTTAAAGGAGAAGGAAGGAATGGACTACATTTTATTAAACTTCTCGTATAAAGTGAGTCAGATGTATTTTAAATTAAGGGCAATATTTTAAATTTTAGAGTCTTGGCAGTTTGTTGATGCAATCATTTTTCCTGGTCTCCATTACAGGATAATTTCCCCTTTGATCCACCTTTTGTCCGAGTAGTTTCCCCTGTACTTTCCGGAGGGTAAATACTGTACTGCTGTTTGTTGAACTCTTTTTAATTTCTTCCACTGCTATTTTATAACATCCATCTTTGGCAATTCATTAGTTCATTATTTGGTACATTAGTTTATGAGTAATAAATCTGCCTCCCTCAGTTACGTTCTTGGAGGAGGCGCCCTTTGCATGGAACTTCTCACCAAGCAGGTATGCTTAAAAATATGCCAAGTATATTTTATTTAATGGAATATGTGATGTTACCTGTTATTGTCTTGGATTTTTTTTTGCATAATGTTCGATGTACATCTGTTCACTTTTCTAACTGGATTTAATTCTCCCTGTCTCCTTATTGCAGGGTTGGAGCAGTGCCTATTCCATTGAGTCTGTCATCATGCAGATCAATGCCACTTTAGTCAAAGGAAAAGCCAGAGTGCAGTTTGGAGCCAACAAAGTGAGTGATGATGGTTTAATGTCAAAGTTAGGATTCTATTGGCCTCACAGACAACACTTTTCATTTTGATCATTAAACTTCTTTTGTCATATATTTTACGAAGCACAGTTCAAAACATCAGTTCAGCAAGTATGAAGAGGAAGAGAAGACCGATTATTTAACCTAAATGACTTTGACAGTCATATCCATAAAATTGGAGTCAGTGAACTGTATTGTCTGTTTATTTAAGATCGAAGTGAAAACACAATTCAACACATCGTCAACTGTGAGGAGAAAATGACAGATTTATGTCACATCTCGGGCACAAATAATTTTTAACCAGATAGATAAAAAAAAAAAAATAATTAAAAATCAGTTTTTTTCAAAGTTTGTCAGCATTGCACTTAATAATCTGAACTAAACCCTTAAATACAAGAGTCTCTATACTGTGTCACAAATTACATTTAGTTACATTTGTGTTTGCCCATTTATTTATCACATTGGCAACCTTTTGTGTAACTGCAAAAAAAATCTTTTTATACCTGCTTATCTGATATCTTTGTCATTCTGCTCTTTATATGATAACATTGGGAGTGTAGTGGGTCAATATTGGCCAGTCGAGTAAGATAAAAGTATGTTATTGGAAGGAGTAATCTATTTTTTATTGTTCATTTAGATCTAAAATTTAATTTATGATTGTTTTTAAAGTTATGTAACCTGACTAAAACACTCTTTTAAGTCATTATTTCCCCCAAATATAAAAATGTTCCATTTCCAGATCTTTGCAGTTTTTGGGTTGTTTTTTTTTTTTTTTTTTGAGAACCCATAAGACTGATCTTTTGTTTTGCTCTGTCATTATGATCCAGTCTTGCTGTTTACATCTAACTTTATCTTTATTTTCATCTCTTTCTACAGAACCAGTACAATCTTGCCAGAGCACAGCAGTCCTACAAATCCCTGGTTCAAATTCATGAAAAGAATGGTGAGTTTGTCAATTCCCAGTTTTGTGTTTTAAAAAAACTGCGTGCTAAAATCAAATTTTGGATATTACTTGGATACGTTTATATAGACATTGATGATAGGTTTATAGTATTTTTTTAAATACTGTTTTAAAACAACAGTTTAAACTGTAATGTAAATATACATATATTTACGTTACACTGTAAATATGTGCATGTGAATGATGCACATTTTTAAAGGCCGATATATATATATAATTCCAGCTGCATTCATACAAACTATCTGGAACATTTGGGTGCTGTAAAGTGTTTAAACTGTGAACATATTGTGTAGTGTAGAGAAGTGGTAACTTGATAGAAATGCTACATCAGGCATTTTTTATTTCATTGTGTTGTTTTCCAGAGCCCCAAATAACAAACAGCTGTTATGGCAGCTGCGCTAATAGTTAAAGGAATTTATTGCATAGTTCATAAATTACTTTGTTAAAAAGTCTAAACATCCAATTAGGCAAGGATGTGACAGGGACATTTTTTTGTTTGCTTTTTTGTTGGACTGCTGGTTGACAGTTTAAAATGACTGGCTTTACTTGTCTTTGAAACAAGGTTCATATATGTCTGATTTTTCATTGTCGTTCACAATCACACTCTTGAATATCACATGAAATAAAAAAGAAACGTTGAATTATTTTTGTTTAAAAAATGTGGAAATGTTTCAAAATGTTCAGAGCAATTTCTCCTTCCGTCATTTACTAAAAATGTTTTATCTTACCCAGATATTTTTAGTTTTTGTTTAAATTTGCATTTTTTTCTTTTGATTGAGAATGGTGACAATGAATTAAATATTAAATACAGGAGCACAGGAATAAAATCAAGATGCAAATGACTGTTACATCCAACCCTGTGCAGACCATGTTTATTTCTTGATGATAAAAAAAGTGGGTCAGGACACTTCCTGGGCTGTTTGAATTCTGTCTTTAGTCATCTCATTTTTAAGCTTGTGTTTTATCAAAAGGCCAAAAATAATGCACTTGCACAACATAGTTTTTATTTAGCTTTTTTGTGTTTGTTCATTTTACATTTTCATTTTGTTTCCTACTTGTAGGCTGGTACACACCCCCGAAGGAGGATGGCTAGTAGAGACTGTCGCCTTTCCTGCACCGGGACCACGACTTAGATTATTTTCTTTTCTTCGTGACCAATATTGGTTCTACCCTTCAAATAATGATGTTCTCTCTCAATGACGGTTTAAAATCCAAACCAAATTCCTCATTTATTGTCTAGCCCAGAACAGGCACATAAAAACAGATCTGTTCACCTCCACCCACAGCAGAACGCCGCTGCTTCTGGCATTGACGTCCAGTCTTCAGACGCTCATCTGTTGTTTACCGTTGAATTATTTTTTTTATTTTATTGCCCACAATTTGGTGGACTAAATATCATGTGAACCTTCCCTTGGTTTTGGCATTGAGCACGTCAAGGCTTGTCTCTGGCTTTGAACTCAAAAGGTGTGGCATGGCTTTATCCTCCACCAGTGGCAGTCTGATGCGCCACTTGCCATTCTCTATCTCTCTGGCCTTAAACTGGATGTTAGACTGGCATGCGCCATTTCCTAATATGATGCAGTGATGATAGGAAGGACATCAAGAATGCTGGTGATAGGAAACCCCCCTTGCCTTTGACTTCCAAGGATGACCTCCCTAATATTGTGTTTTTCTTTTTAATCCCAAGAACCCTCTTCCCCTTTTGGAGGAAAGAAAATAAAGCTTCTCCTAAGTCTAGTTTGCGTTCTTAAGCTTAAAGCCCCAAGCAAGGGCAGGACAATATATGGACTTGTGCAGGTTTTGTTGGAGAAACCATTTATGAGGATCAGCATGCTGCTGGCTTTCAAATGTGGAGAAAACCACCAACATTATCGCAACCAGCAGCCGGACAACATTGGCGTGCAACTAGACATGATTATGAGGCAAAGCAGGAGCTCGTTTGGATCAAATCACACTGTAATGTAATTGATTTTAACTCCACTGTAAACATGTAAATTTGTATTTCTTCTAAAGGATTTAATTGTTTATATTGTAATCTTGTGTAGGTCTTTGCCTGAGCAGAGACTGTATTACTGAATACTCTTGACTATAACTTGCAGGGCCATTGCAACCTCTTAAGACCAATTTAAAATAAAGTAACATTTTAGATACTTCTGAAGTATCTGAAGGAAGCGAAAGTGCACCAGGTCCGTATACAAGCCTAATGACTACTGCAATCCAGATCTTATTCTTTGGTGACCCTATCTCTTAGTGGAGCTCTAATACTACAGTGGCTGTTACAATATTGTTGGGACAGCTGTCGGTAGCATACCAGAGGTTTCGCCATTCATATCACTCCAACAGGCTGAACCTTTCTACGGCTATGCAGTGCGGACACATTCTGGAGTTTTAACTGAAGTCAATTCTTAAAGCTGGTTCACTTCCTAACTACTTCACCTATTTAACGTCCGAGGTAAAAAGTGAACTTTACCCTCTGACTTTTCTCTGACCTCTGCTGCTCTAAAATGCAGCCGGAGTTCCAGATTCACAGCAATACTCTTCTCCATTATAACATTTTCGCTTCACACCCGGAAAGATCACCCTGGGGTCTGTTCTGTTTCCAGAATATCTGTTCAGGTTTTAATAAATATTTGTTGAGCTTTGCCACAGGAAAAACTTGAGCTCGTCCCATTACCACTTCCCTGGTTTACTATTCATGACCACTCTCAGCGCGGCTGCACACCCTCAGCGTGTTGAGGCTTTGATGTAATATTAACTGGGGCATTCCAGTTAATGCAGTGACATGTTTTTTGTAGGTGTTCTGTTGTGTTGTTACTTGCATTTTTTTTTTTAAGTATATCATCCTGATAACCAGCGTAGAAGGCTTAGTTTTGCCATTTCTTGGAGTGAACTCTCATTTCTGAATGGATTTTTGGCTTTCCAGAGTGACAACTAACTTCACATTGGTTTAAAGTTTGTTAATGTCCAACTCATCTTAAATTAGTTTCCCTGCAAGATACCTTTTTATATGAAACAAACTACCAGATCATAGGCATGATTGTTAGTTGTTGTAATGTGTTTGTATTGTATTATTCATCCCATTCTGCTTACATTGTTTAGCCCTCCCTTGCATTTTCTGGACAAGCAAACTCAGGAATACATACTGCACACTCAACTTTGCAAACGATTGGTTCAGGCCATCATTGATGGCAAGATTGAATGTCTTGGTCTGTTTTTGTCCCCCCCCCCCCCTCCCACCTGGTTCTTAAAACTACACCCATGTTGACATCGTGGTGCATTTTGCCAATGCAGTCCACACATTGATTGAGGCTAGCGGTTTCTACTGACGTGATCAGATGTGTGAGGCAGAGATTGCTCCAACCCTGGGCTTGTTGAAGGGTTCAGAGCACATTTCTCTTTGATATTGCTGTTTTTTGCATGTCAGTATACTAGTGGGTATAAATTCTTCCCTTGCCTCCCCTTGTCTTGGGAAATGGAGTGGTTATTTGGGGTGATTAATAAAAGACTGGGAATATAATTTGTTGTGGTTTCCCCCACTGTGTCGGTGCACAGCCCCGATGCGGAGACAGCTTGGGCTGGTTGGCTCCTCCTTCTGGTCTACCTTTAAAGTTGCCAGGTTGATTCCCATGAATAACAGCAGCTAAAATTCATGCGTCAGACATCGTACATGAAGCTGATTTCTTTTGGAACATTGACGTATTCGAGTGTGGTGCCCTGACCAACAGCTTCTCTTCACACCAACTCATTTCTGACTAACAAGGACTTCTCAGATTAGACGAATGACGTGTTGGTCTGAGACTTGAACAAGCCTGATATTGGTCTTTTTACCTTGCATCATTAACTGCGGTGGCCGGGTTATAAAGTTATGCACTGTAAGCATGCTTTGGTTTGGTTTCTTTTTTTTTTTTTTTTTTTTCTTTTTTTTTTTCCTGTTGCAAGGGTGATTTTGACAATGTAAAATAATTTGTAAACTTGCATCAAGTTTATGAATAAAGACTTTTATGAAATATGTCCGTTTTCACTTTTTGGGGGGAATTTTCATTGACAAAACAAAAAAACTGATCTGAAAAACACAGGAAACGCAGTGGAAATGTAAATGGTTTGATTTATGTTGATTGGTGAAACAAAAGCATTGACTTGCTTTTCGTCATATCAGCCAGAAAATGTATCTAACAATCAAGAGTGCACTGCATTGCTCTAAATTTTGTATTGAATCTTTGACTGTGTAACTGAATATTTATCATTAAAAATGAAGCATCTTTAACGGGTGTAAAATGTTAATATGCTGTTACGCGTTATAAAGACAGCTCATTTTTATCTATTGTCCCATACACAATTTGTTCAGCTACCCTAGCTAATGAAAACCTCAACATGAATCTCTCCTTTGATCTGCATTTCATTTCCAAATGAAATGCAGATTTTACTTCCAACTGATTTTTGGGCCAGTGAGAGCATCTGGTCTTTTTTTTTTTTTTTTTTTTTTTTTTTTTTGTCTTCAAGCCCACTTTGACATCTGTTGATCAGGAGGCACATAAAACAAGGAATGTGGTGATTCTGCTGCACGTTTATCGTTTTGTACCACATGTTTTCTTTCCACTTAGCTTTCCATTAACAGCTTTGATACAACTTTGTGAAAGTCACCTCAGCAGTCGTGATTATTTTTGACCTCGACAGTTCTCTATCAAAGATGGTATTTTCCTGCTTTCATGTAGTATTTGAACAATCTGAAGTTAGATTCAAGATATAATCCAAATGAAGCAAAAATAAACGCATAACATTTTTGAAAAAAAAATTTTCACATAAAAAAAAAAAAAAAACTTAAATATTTTTTTTATTAGTTGCACCAGTAAATGTTGGGAAATGTTTGCTGTATTTCCGAGCAGAGAACTCTGTTTGGCAAACGATTCCAGTCATGATTGCAGTCATGCCCAGAGCAGACCACCACAGCTCCTGTGGTTGTCACACTACCATATTAGTGGTAGTGTAGTAGCTATAATGTTTCCTTTTCCTGTGTCACTTTTTGTAAAGGGTCTATTTTTCATCTTGAGAAAATCAGTGACTAAAAAAATTATGATCCATACATATTTAAGTTAATCAAAATTAGTGTATTGTTCAACTTACTGCATTTTCTTACCAAAAACATCTAATTTAAGAATCATTGTATATATGTGTGTGCTCAGAAATTGTTTTACTGCATAAAGTAAGTTTTTAATTATAAATCCAATAAGAAATAGTAACTCTGCATGTTTTAATTCTGAATTTTAATAGAATATCTACAACAACTGTAGTTAGAACAAGATAGACCTTTCAAAATCTCTGTCTTGTTTTGAAGCTTCAGACGTGTTATTTTGTGGCAGTAGGGACAACAAAGTGTCTCTTGGAGTCAAAAATGTTGCTGACACTTTGTCTAGATGAGTGTTTCTAAATTCCAGTCCTGAGAGACCTCTGAGGACCACAGAACATCATGTTTTTGGTGTTTCCCTTCTGCCACACATCTGATTTGAATAAGTCAGGCCTCTGCAGCACTTGATTTCATGCAGTCATTTGAATCGGGTGCTCTGGGACCAGGACACATCTAAAATATGCAGGGCATGCAGTCCCTGAGGACTGGAATTGAAGACTAGTCTTGATGATGAACATGCTTGTTTTTAAAGTTTTGCTGCTTGTGTGTGCCATTTGGAGCCACTAGGTGGCGATGGTGCACTCCTGTAACTTCAGAGTTACAGTATTGTGCTTTTTTATTTATTTATTTTTCTTTTACTTATTCAACATTTAAAAAGTCCATCAGGTTTGAATCATCTGTCAGCTGCCATCGATGCTTGATTATACGAAGGACTGCTGTTCTCTCCCTCGAACTCATTTCCCTCAAGGTTGAAAGAATGACTGATGAGGTCGAGTCTTTAAATAAGACACGGAATAAGACTGTTATTGATGGGATACAGTCTGATCCGGACCTGAGTAACTCATGCTCATCATTTCAGATGTCTTTGGTTGTCAGACTTTCATGGATGTCAAACTTTGTGAATCAATTTAATGAGTAGCATGTGGCTTGAGAGTGTTTTCAGTCATGTTGGTGGAACTTGCAAGGCTTTTTGAGATTTAGAAAATCTTAAATGCAAATTATGCTAAAGAAAGAGCTCAAACTGTCTGATTCACTGATGAAAACCTAAATTTGTCCTTCTTCTACCAGAAGCAGGTGCCTTGCAGAAGGTGACATGCATTCAGAATTCATCTCACCATCAGAGACTCTCACTCTGCTTTCTGATAGTGACACCATAATATTCAGACACAGACTGCCTGTTTTAGAAGAGCTGTAATTATTTCAGACTTTTTGCTTCACTGATGACCTTGTTGCCAACCTTTCCAGTGATTCTAAAGAACGTGTAAAATTGGTCCACTCTATATAGTTTTATTTATCTTGATTTTATCGCTCCAATATTTTTAGCCGTGTTGCAAATTACTTTTATTTCTCAAAGAAAGAAGGCGTATAGTATGAGTCGAGCTTTCCTAAGTTTGATACTAAAGAACATTTTGCAATACAGAAAAACGTTTTGCAGCATAAAATGTATTGATTATAAATGAGATGTTGCATTTCTGAAGCACCAACATGTTCTTGTAATACTTTCGATGTCGTATAGCAGCATCAGGGTTTCTAGCCGTTTATAGCTTTTGGGTGCAGCTGCTACAGTAATAAGATGGAGCACAGTAATAAAAAAAACATTAAAGATGCCTGATGAGGCCTACCCATGGTCATGAATTTGTTGTCATGGTAAAGAAGCAAGTAAAGGCACCAACAAGGGAGCAGAAATATCAGGTGAAAAGGCAGGATGATGCTGCATTTTATCAGAGGTGATATCTGTGGTGAACGAAGACTCCACAAAATTACCAAAATTCCAAAATTGCTCTTAATTTAAATCTTCAGCATTTGAATGCTTCTCTTTATATGAGATCTGTAAATGGCAACACCATTTGTGTTGAATACATGATGTTTCGGGTCCATTTTAATATATTACAATTTCATCAACAAAAATATGATTTCAGTAATTGCAGGATTATGATATTATGATTGACAGAATCATGTGTATATGTTGGTTATCCAGAAAGCAGTCAACAATAAAGGTGCTGACTCTTCACACATTCCTTCAC